AAACAAAGAGGTATGAAGAGGTATACGGAGATACCAAAAGGCACAAGAAGGTACAAAGAGGCACAAGGAGGTACAAAGCAGCTACAAAAGAAGGTACGAAAAGGCAAAACAATGAGGTACGAAGAAGCAAAACAAGGCTATACAAAGAGGCACAAGGAGAACCGTACATGGTGTAAGAGCACCACAGGTGAGGTGAAGCTGAGTGTCTAAACGGACTAGAGCTAATGAGTGAAGTGGAGACACCTGGGCTAACAGGCGAGGACAGGTGTAGGTGGGCGTGGCCAGACTCTGGAGCAGAGACTAGCTGTGGAACAATACTGACTGAGGTGGCACAGAGGGGAAAACATTTCAAGTGAAAACACGAGGAACACAAAACAGACAATAAAACATAAAAACCAAAAGGGGATAAACACAAAGAAGCACCAGAAAAATCACCAGGAAACAAAGATCCTGACACAAAAACACTAATCTGGATTTAAATCTGGATTATTCATTACGAAGCCCTGGTAGCAGGAAGCAGGGGGAAGCAGAGTCTTTCCATGCACTGAACGCGTCCAAAGCAAACTCCAGATGTTGGAGGCCCTCTCCCTCGACTCCACCTTCGCCTCAGACGCTCAGCCTTATCTAAGGGAGGGCGAAGCCTGGTACTTAACTTCACCGTCCGTCATTCCTTCGGCTTATAAGAAAAATAAACACCAGCGGGCAAAATTCCTCCAGGTCACGGAGAAAACCTCGGGTTGAACATGTTTGATGTGTTTTCTCTGAATTCTTCAGTAGGTGGAGGCCACAGAGCTGAGCTGAGGCCAACGTCACTCCTCAGCTAGCTCGTGTCTGACAAGGAGGGTTAGCTGTGGCAGCCATCTTGAATTAGACTAAACCCAGAATGGTCGGGGAAATGCTTTAAAATCCATCCAGTGGTTCATTGGATACTTTGCTACCATGACAAATATACACAGACACAGGCAAAAACTTCTCGTGTTTGGCTTTGTAAAAAAAATAAATAAAATGTTTGATGTTTTTCATGTGGAAGGCTACCTGAAAGACACTGGGCGTAAGCGGTGGTGATCCCATACGGCCTGGTCCGTTTCTGAGGGTGGAACTCGTCCGACTCTTGCCCGGTAAAGCGGTCCACCACAATCACGGCGTCCCTGTTGTGAACACAATCATCACAAGAGCTCAGAAACGTTCTGCATCGGGTTCACTGACGACGAGATGAACCGTCTGCGCTGCTAAAGCAGCTCCTCTGACACAATCGCTCAACCGTTTCTTGTAAGGTCCTGCTGAGATCACAGTGAGGCCCCGGGTAGATCACTCACAGATGCCTGGGCTGGGAAATTGCAAGCAGCTGTCAGTTTTTAGGATTCTTTCGCACTCCCATGTCCACGCTAAACAAGCCCAACCCCCGCTCTTCTTCAGAGGGAATACAGAGCTCAATAGTTTCAGGCTGGGAATGTCCGAGCTTTGGAGCGTGACCCCTGAGCCATCCAGTCCCGACTCCACCGGGCCAGATTTACACCCTCACTCTCCGCAGTGGGCTGAGGTTGAAGGCCGTCCTGATGCAACGGCATTAAAGCTTGCAAACCCTTCTTGACGAAGTGTTCATACCGTTCCGGGGTTTATCCCGTTATGAACACAAACTTCGAAGTGTTGCATTTCATGCGATGAACCAAAACAATGTAGAGCACTTGTTTTGTTACAAACACGATTTGAAAAGTGTGGCGTGCGTTTGTCTTCGACCACCTTTACCTCTGATACGCCGAATTAAAATGCTGAGTCAGCATTGTTGTTTTTCCGTTTTACTGCCACACATCAAAACGTTCGGCTCGTTTAGGACAGTACAGCTATGACTTTTGGTTTGTTGCACTTTTTTGAAACACAGTAGTCCCTCTCTACATCGCGGTTCGTTTATCGTGGATTCGCTCTATCGCGGTTTTTCCAAATAAGATTGGACATGACACACAGTTGGCTGATTGATGGACGAACGGCATGGAATTTTTATTTAAAATAAATTATTTAGCACCTGCTGCTCCTTTGTGTAGCCCACAACTGCAGAGAACGCTTCCTCCTGCGACTCTGTGCAGCACTTACTGCAGGATAAACTTCCTCCTGCAGCTGAACAGCTGATCAGCTGATCACCGTGCAGAACGGAGAAGTGGGCGTGGCCAAGAGCGTTTGCAGGTAGCTGGGAGCAGCGGATGCACAGAGAGGGAAATCATGACTCTTTTAGAGCATTTAGAATTTAGAAACATTGTTTAGAATATTGCAAGAGTGTAGGAAGGTTTAAAACGCTTTAATATCTATATATAAATATTAAAATTAATTATTACTTATACTACTATTCCTACTTGGTGGTTTTTCACTTATCGCAGGGCGGATCCCCCACGATAAACGAGGGACTACTGTAGTTGAAATATTTACTTTTATATATATTCTTTTCCTCATTCAAATTAGTAGAGAATTTGTCATTTTCAGCTTTTAGCTACTGTTTAGTTGGTCTTAGCTTTAAGCTATTTTTCCAATTTTTGCTCTTTATTTGCGAATTTTTGCTTATAGCTACTGTTTTTACAACTTTAACTTTTAGATAGTGTTTTGATAGTCACTTTTTAGCTACTGTTTGCTTGTTTTAGCTTGTAGCTTCAAATTTAGCTTCTAGCAAATGTTTTGTCTGTTTTTTTGCTAAAACCAGCTTTTAGCTACTTAGATATGATTTTGACAACTTTAGCTTTTAGCAAAATATTTGCTAATTTTAACTTTTAGCAACTCTTGTGCCAAATTTTGCTTTTATCTGTTTTGCCAGTCTTGTCTTTTAGCTACTTTTTCATTAAATCAGGCTCTTAGCTCCCATGTTACTGATCTAATCTTGTAGTTACGTTATGCTTACTTTAGGTTTTAGCTACTAATTTAATAATTTTCATTTTCAGCAGCTAGTTTGCTCATTTATGGCTTATAACAATAGTTAGCTATTTTTTGCTTTTAGCTACTGTTTTGCTTTTTTAATTTTATTTGTTGAATTTTGTAAATTTAGCACTTAGCTACTTTCTTACTGGTCTTACATTTTCATTTCTGTTTTGCTCATTTTAGCTTTTAGCTACTAATTATCTAATTTTAGCTTTTAGCCATTGATTTGACAGCTAATGGCCTTTAGCAATTGTTCTGCTGATTTTGGCTTTTAGTTGCTGTTTTAAGCTACAGTTTTGATGGTTTTAGCTTTTATCTTTATAATTTTAGCTTTGTTCTGATCATGTTTTCTAATAACAGGGTTTTGTTTTTCTTAATAAGCCACATTTTTAGCTCTTAGCATTCACCTGTGAGTGGTTTAATCTCAGTATGAATCCAGCTGTTCTGTGAAGGCCTCAGAAGTTTACTACAGAACACTAGTGATCAAACACCATCATGAAGCCCAAGGAACACATCAGACAGGTCAGAGAGAAAGTTGTTTAGAAGTTTAAAGTAGGGTTAAATTATAAAATTATATCTGCAGAGCTCTGCTTAGTCCACCATCTTGAAGAGTACGACTCAACTGCAAACCTACTAAAACATGGCCGTCCTCCTAAACCAACAGTCCGGACAAGGAGCGCGTTAAAATAAATGTTCAATTAAAGAAAGTTTCAAACCTCTGCCAGTCAGTGTAGTAGATGTTCTTTCCAATTGACGTGATCCCAAACGGGTACCGAATCCCCTCTAAAACCGTGCTGCGATCTCCCCGACCAGGATTCACGCACTCCAGTTTATGTGTACCTGCAGGCGAGAGAGCTCCCTCAGGACTCATCACAAAGCAGACATCTTGGATCTGTCATCCACCTGGAACTTACCAGCGTCTGCCCAACACAGCAGAGAACTCTGATGGTCGTACGTCAGTCCATTCGGCAGACCAAGGTTGTCCTTAACCAGAACCCTTCTGTTGGTCCCATCCATGTAGGAGGTTTCTATCTTGGGGGCGTCGCGATTCCAGTCGGCCCAGTAAAGATTTCTGTTGGAAAGACATCGTCGCTGTGAGCTCACTGACAAACCACCAAAGTCATAAATATTCAATTTAAATATTCATATGTATTAGCATCAGTTTTTCGCACTTCCACTACTTTGTTGTAACTGTTTTTGAAAGGGAGGCTCTGTGGAAACATTACGAACGAATTATATCTTACCTGTTGTAGATAGCTCTTTGAACAACCTGAGTTTTGATGCGTTAGTACGTATTTACTCGTTTTGGAATCGCACATCGACGTATCTGGAAAACTACCGAAGTAAGCTCCTTCAAACTGCATCGTTTGATAGTTCTCGACAACCTTTTTACACTGGATTTCAAATTTTGCTATGAGTATGTTTAACTACTTGAGTCAGCTGCGATCTGCTGCGATATGTGTTTAGAGTGAAGCGCTACAGGCTCCGCCCCCCCACTTGACACATACTTGGCAACTCAGCTCTGTGACTACCTCCCTTACTGACTCAAAGGCTTGCTCCTGGTTGGTTTTGTATACTTCAGGGTAACCTTTTAATGTTTGATTTCATACTTTTGCTATGAATAACTTTAGTACTCAACTTGTAGCTTTACAAATGTATTAGGAAGTCATCGTAAAACATAATGTAAGCCTTCTACACACCCGCTTTCAGGATCAGTGATGATCGCTCGAGGGTTCACAAGATCTGTGTCTATGAGGACACGACGCTGGGACCCGTCCAGAGACGCCACCTCGATCCTATCCTTCATAGAGTCGGTCCAGAACATCGTTCGGCTCAAGTGGTCGATCGCGATACCTTCTGGGCTCTCCAAATCTGTCAGGAGGACACATTTTACACGTCAAGTTTTATGTTGTTTATTCATAAAAAAATAAGAAGAGTACAAGTGAAACTACCGGATCTGATGATAGTGGTGGGCTCCCCGCCATCTGCGCTGGCCTTGCTAATTGAAGGAGACGTTATTTCCGTCCAATAAATCATTTTTTCCACGCAGTCATAGGCAACTCCAATGATAACGTTTCCCTGTGGAGGGGGGTTCAGCCAAAAAAAGTTGCATTTTATCAGACAAAACTTGAAGCAGATGTGGGTTTTTTTTTGTGTTTTTGTCTAGACTTAGTTGTAAACTAACTAAAAACAAACCCAGCAGTGTGGCCGGACTTCAAGCCAGCTGGTTTGGAAATCAGTGTAGTGACAAAAAAACAGACAGCGATTCCAAAGATGTTGGACGTATGTTATTCATTAGTGGGAATACCACAATGTGACTCCAATAAAGTGTAAGCCTTTAATGCACGGAGCAGCTGGGAATCTGGTAGGAATGAAGCAAGTTTTAGAGCCAAGAAGAAAACGAACTGGAGTTGCAGCCGGAGAAAACGCTACAAGGAATAACTGTTGTCTTGTTCCTCTTGTCAGTCTGATACAAGATGTCCGCCACATTTAGAAAACCTTGGCAAACACAAAAATACCTTTAACTTTGTCAGTTTTACAGATACTGAGGTAAGACTTGATGTGGTAGTAGCTGAGAGTCACGACCAACCAAGAGTAGATCACTAGACATCTTGCAAAACTATGCAAAACAATGTACAATAGTCCCTCGTTTATTGCAGTGAAAAAACGCAAAGTAAAAATAGTAGTACAAGTAGTAAGTAGTAGTTTATTTTATTATATATATATATATATATATATATATATATATATATATATACATTTTAAACCCTTCCCACACTCTTGCAATATTCTAAACAATGTTTCTAAACTCTAAGCGCTCTATAAGAGCACAGAATGTCATGATTTCAGCTCTCTGCCTCCGCTGCTTTCAGCCACCTGCAAGCTCTCTTGGCCACGCCCACTTCACCGCTCTGCACGGTGAACAGCTGATCAGCTGCAGCAGGAAGCTTATCCTGCAGTATGGGCTGCACAAAGGTGCAGCAGGTGCTAAATAATTTTAAATAATTTATTTTAAATTTTAAAAAATCAATGCCGATTGTGCGGCTCATCCATCAATCGGGCAATTGTGTGTCATGTCCAATCTTATTTTGAAAAACCGCAATAGAGCGAGTCTGCGATAAACAAACAGCGAAGTAGCGAGGGACTATTATACTCAACATTTGACCAAGAATACTAAAACTTAATACCTTTTTATTAATAAGATCGAATTAGTTTAAAAAATAAGATGATCGTAGTTTAAAACTTTGACCTAAAAGGTGGCGGGCGATATGCATTTTTGTTCGTAAGTAACTTACTGGGACGTGAAGGACAGGTTTAGCATCATCCTTCTTCATATCGTAACCGTCCAATGGGATGTGCTCTATTCTGCCGCTCTGAGCAAACAGCAGGTGTGTCCCTGGAGGGAGATGGACGTTGGGTCGGGGCCGAGGCCCAACAGGTGTGGGCGCGATGTTGTGGTCAACACCTAACAGAGATTACAAACGAGGCAAACAGGCAGCAGCTAGTTAAACATGACGATATCGTCCTGGAACGTCAGCAGAGTTGCGTTCTTATCGTACTCACACATCGGTCTGCTGCCGGGAGCAGAGCGCGTCCCGTCGATCTCTAGTCCGTGACGGTCCACACACCAGCAGTACCCGGTGCTGCCGTGGCACTGGGTGGGCACGTAATCACCGTTAACGTCACACTCTGGGATGTACTGTCCGACAGGAGGTCGGGGGGCCCGTGGTGGACCGAACCCAGCCCCACCAAGAAGACTGTCTCTGTGGGTCTCGCATCGAGTCTTGGTCCTCTCTGAAAGAGGAGTGGAAAAACAAATAAAAGACAAACAAATAATCTTATAAACTAGTTAAAAAGCTTGTTTTGCTTTAGTTACATTTTAGCATTAAAATGTTTTTCAATCTGAACCAAACACCATCGACAAATGTTCTATGTTTCCTGTGTATCGATGACTCATTTAGTAAATTCTTTAAAGAAAACTAAAACCAGACCTGGAACTGAATAAAATGTTCTGAATAATTTTACTGAAATTTAATGAAAAAGCTGAAATTGGGTTGTTAAAGGAAGAGGAACACTGAAAGCTAAAGTTAGCATAATGCAGTGGTGAAAAGCTTAAAGTGCTGAAAGGCTAACAAGAGGCAAATGTTATCAAAAGGTTAGATAAAAGGTAGAAGTTAGGAAAAAGCCAGCTTTAAGTTTTAAAAGTATAGCTAAAAGTTAAAATGGAAAAATTATAGCTAACCTACAAGCATCAATTAAAGGCTAGAAAATAGCTACAAGTAGCAAAAGGCTGGCTAAAAGATAAAAGGTTTAAGGGTAATTTAGCAAAAGACTTGCTAAAAAGTTTAGTTAAAAGTATCTAAAGCTAGCTAAAAACAACAAAATGCTAGCAAGATGTTAAAAGCAGGAAAAGTCTGATTAAAAGCTAAAATTAAATGTAGCAAAAAGTTTGCAAAAAGCATCAAAAGGCCAGCAAGAAGCTAAAATATACTTAAAAAGACTACCTAAAAACTAAAAGTAGCAAAAAGCAATTTAGGTATCAAAAGGCTAGCTAAAAACCAAAAGCAGCAAAAACTAGTAAGTATCAAAAGGCTAGGTAAGAGCTAATATTTTATCTAAATATAGCAAATGATTAGCTAAATGTAAAAGTTGCAAAAAGCAATTTAGGTATCAAAATGCTAGCTAAAAACAAAAAGCAGCAAAAAGCTAGTAAGTATCAAAAGGCTAGCTAAGAGCTAATATTTTAGCTAAATATAGCAAATGATTAACTAACTGTAAAAGTAGCAAAAGGCTATTTAAAAGTATCAAAAGTTAGCAAGACGCTAAAAGTAGCAAAAGGTTGGATAAAAGCTAAAAGGTTAGCTAAAAGCTGAAAGTAGCCAATTGGTAACGAAAAGCATCAAACTAGCTAATAGCTTAAGTAGCAAAAGACTAGCTAAAAATTAAAAGAAGCATAAAGACAAAAGTAAAGCAGTATGCTGAAACTAATGTTTTTGAATAAAAGCAATCTCAATGAATCCCTCTGAAAAAGTTCTGAAATTCTCCTGATTGAGATAAATGTTTTGTTCAGCTAAAACGGCACAACATGTGCAGAAGTTGTTCAATTGCAAAATTCGTAAAAAAAAAAACAGGAAATTAAAAGTGTGAAAGTTGATTCAGCTTTTCCAAACCTGCTGTAGAAAGAACTTTGTGTTCTGTACGGTGCATGGCACTAAGGTGTAAATGAAAAACATTTGAGAAAAAAACACAACAAAAACAACTAAAACACAACAACATTTGAAAAAACGGAATCACACTAGAAAAAACGGAGTTACATTAAGACAAACCGGAAGTTCTTTTTAAACGCAATTCAGTTTTTTTCAAATGTCCATCCATCCATCCATTATCTTTTACCCGCTTCTTCCATTTTGGGTCACGGGGGTCACCAGTGCCATGTCCATCAATCTCTGTGCGAGGGGCGAGGTACACCCTGGACAGGTCTCCAGTCCATCACAGGGACACATAGAGACAAACAACCATTCACGCTCTCACTCACCTAGGAACAATTTTAATGTTACCAATCAGCCTAACATGCATGTTTCTGGTCTATGGGATTAAACCAGAGTACCCGGAGAAAACCCACGCATGCACGAGAGAACATGCAAACTCCACTCAGAAAGGCCCCCCGGTTCAGGATTTGAACCGGCAACCTTTTCGCTGAGAGGCAGCAGCTCTACCAGTTGCACCACCTTGCTGCCCCAAATGTAATTCCAATTTTTCAAATGTAATTCTGTTTTTCAAATGTTTTTCATTAACACAAAAGTCTCACCTGAAGAGCAGTGGATGCCGTTCCCACTGTAGCCTGGCTGGCACTGGCAGACAAAAGAACCCTGGGTGTTGACACACACTGCGTTTTGATGGCACCTGCCGGGCTGACACTCGTCTATATCTGAAGGCAGCACATGAAAAGGCTTTGTTTTGAAAGACAAATAGTTTAAATTCTGTAAATCCCAAATGTTTTTAGAACAAGGGTTAATAGATGACAGATCATGCAGCTGGTTATGTTTGTGGATAATCCAACATTGACATTCAGTACCTTGGCAGGTGCGTCCATCCCCCACAAAGCCCTGCAGGCAGGAGCAAATGTAGGAGGAGCCTCCAGTGTAGCTGCACTGAGCGCGCTCAGAAATATCACAGGTGTGGGTGCCTTCGTCGCAGTGGTCCACAGGTCGATCGACTTCTACAAAGAAGAAGAAGAGCTATTCATACTTCCATCTTGGCGTTCAAACTGTTGTTTTCATGGTTATAGGTTGTATTTCTATTATGTTATAATGACACATTCAGATTGTCCATACGCGACTGTAAACACTTTTAGAAACCACTGTGATTGATATAAGCGTGTGACTTTAAGATTGTAAGCCCCTCCTTTTTATTTCTTCTTCTGTGGTATTGTTTTGTTAAATAGTTTGCGCCCCTTAAACCCTCCCCTTCATACTGTTGTCCTATGGGAGAGGTGAGTGTTGGTTATTTTTCATCCAAATACATCCTGTTTATTTATAGATTTATTAAGTGCATTTTTGTTATCATCACCATTGTAATACATAAGCTACGACTTCTGGTGTTTGTTTTGTTTAACATTATTTACATGTTTTTCTCATGGAAATGCAGGAATCTCTGTAAATTAACTTTGTGCTCAAAGTTTTCCTTTGTGTGAAGTCTTTTCCAACATGCTTCATTTTTTTACTTTTAGCAACTGTTTTGCTCATTTTAGCTTTTAAGTATTGTATCGTTTTCACGATTTTAGCTTTCATCCACAGTTTTTCTGACAGGTTTAGATTTCATGCGCTATTTTTCTGGTGTTAGCTTTTAGCTACTGTTTCACAAACTGTATCTTTTAGCTACAGTTGTGACCTTTTTACATTTAATCTGCTGTGTTTCTGGGTTTAGCTCAAAGCTACTTTTCTGCTAATTTTAGCTTTTAAACATGAATTTGATGATTTTGAGTTCTATGTATTGTTTTCCTAATTTTAGATTTTAGTCACTGTTCTATTAGTTGTAGCTTTGGCTACTGTTTTAGACATGTTAATTTTTAGCTACTGTGTTCCTGATTTTAGCATATAGATGTTTAGCTAATTATAGCTTTTAGTTAGTGTTGTACAAATTGAAGCTTTAAGCTACTGCCCACTGCTTCTAACTTTTGGCTACATTAGCTTGCAGCTATTACACAATGCCACTTTTACTTACTGTTGAAACTATTTTGGCTTTCCACTACAGTTTTTCTGGTTTTAGCTTTTAGCTATTGTTCCAATAATTTTAGCTTTTATCTACTGTTTTTCTAGTTTTAGCTAATAGCTAATTTTTTAGCTGGTCTTAGCTTTTAGCTACTCTTACAAACGTTAGCCTTCAGATATTGTCTGTATCATTTAAACTTTCATCTACTGTTTTCCTGATTTTAGCTTATAGCTACCATTCTACTTGTTTTAGCTTATAGCTACTATTCTACTGGTTTTAGCTTATAGCTACCATTCTACTTGTTTTAGCTTATAGCTACTATTCTACTGGTTTTAGCTTATAGCTACCATTCTACTGGTTTTAGCTTATAGCTACCATTCGACTTGTTTTAGCTTATAGCTACAATTCTACTGGTTTTAGCTTATAGCTACTATTCTGCTGGTTTTAGCTTTGGCTACTGCTTTATAAATGTTATTTTTTAGCTACTGTGTTCCTGATTTTAGCATATAGATATTGAGCTAGTTATAACTTTTAGTTAGTGTTGTATAAATTGAAGCTTTGAGCTACTGCCCACTGCTTCTAACTTTTAGCTACATTAGCTTGCAGCTATTACAAAATGCCACTTTTAGTAACTGTTGAAACTATTTTGGCTTTCCACTACTGTTTTTCTGGTTTTAGCTTTTAGCTATTGTTCCAATAATTTTAGCTTTTATCTACTGTTTTTCTAGTTTTAGCAAATTTTTAGCTGTCTTAGCTTTTAGCTACTCTTTTACAAATAGCCTTCAGATATTGTCTTTATCATTTAAACTTTCATCTATTGTTTTCATGATTTTAGGTTATAGCTACCGTTCTACTGGTTTTAGCTTATAGCTACCATTCTACTGGTTTTAGCTTATAGCTACTGTTCAGTTGCTTTTAATTTTGAGTATTTCAGCTTTTGGCTTTTGTTTAGCTACTTCTTGCTTTTGTTGCGATTGTTTTCACACGGCCTTTTCACATAAAATGCTTTTTTTTCTAGTTTAACTTGTAAACACAAACATCTGTTACCAATGCAAGTCCGTCCATCGCTGCCGAACTGATACCCCTCCTCACATTCACAGCGGAAAGTCCCAGGCTGATTGTTGCAGATAGCGTTAGACCCACAGATGTGAGGAGTCTCTCTGCACTCATCAATGTCTGACAACAAAAAGAAAAAGATTGGTTATCACTGGCTAATAATCCCCAAGATTAGGTGCAGATTTGACTTCCGGAGTCTGGATTTGTCAGATCAGCTCCTTCACTGTCAGATGAAGTTCAAAGGGAGGAGCTTGATAAGATGCTCTAATTGTTTAACAACAGGATCTGTCTGAAAGATTTCCTTCCTTTCTCCACTGTGTGTTCTTCCTGTTTGGTCTCTCACGTAAAAGACTGCTGGTTCTGTAGACCATGGGCTGGTAATATGGGACCACAGCGGGTTGGTCAACCCAGCCTTGAAGCGAGGGATTGCCTCTGTCCCCCAGGAGGAAGACTTTATTAAATCTGGGTTTAATCAGAAACTCATCATGTAAACAGTGCAGGGTTTTATTTGTGTGTGTCATTCTTACCGTAACATGTCCGTCCGTCCCCATTGAACCCAGCAGCACAATGGCAGGTGAAATGGATCCCCTCACCATGTCGACAAACAGCATTGGTGTCACAGCCGTGTCTTCCGGTGAAACACGGGTTCTCCTCTTGCTGACCGCCTTAGAAATTACATCGTGAGACAATTCTGTTACAAATCTAAGAATGTCGCTTCATTAGGCAAGATTGAGGAAGGAAGTGAGCGCAGACCAAAACAGGAAGACTAAACATTTTCCTCGCCCTCACCGTTGACGTCCCCAATCTTGTTGCTCATGGCGTACCGAAGGAGATTATTATTAGAGTCAAAGAAGACAAAGATTTGGTCCACTTTGAGCATCTGGGTATTCACATCTCGCAGAGATTCGTCGTGCTGGCAGCTCTGGAAGGTGATGGTCTCGCGACGCTGATAGCTCCTGGTTTCAGTGGACCCATCAGGCATATTCACTATATATTTCCGCGTAGAGGACGAGGTGATCACTGAAATGTAGAATTGTCACATAAGTACCTTAAATCAATTAGCGAAAAGAACTGGAGACGTTGCACCTTAGCCATATCTTACAGTTGTTGTTGTACTGGTAGATGTCAGTGTATGGATCGACCTGAATGGTGGAGCCAAGAGGCACCTCAGGGACCCGGCCGTCCATGGTGGTGCTCACCACCAGGTGGTCCAGCTCATCTGTGCCCTTGAACTCCTGCCTGATTGTCAGCCTCTCATTCCCAGGGAAAAAGGTCACTTCAGCCTGCCGCTTGAACTCGCCCCCTACAGGAGACAGCGAAGAGAAGGCTAACGTTAAGACCCTTGTCTCCGTTACAGCCGAAGTCATGTGAAAAGTGTTCATGCATGTTAATGGTGATATCTCTCTGGGCTACTAAAAACCCTGGTCAATTTTGACAAATTTCACCAGGAGTAAACAAAAACAGCTGTGGAAATAAAGACACTAATTTGAAAATGCTCAAAATAGGTTCTGGATGCCCATGACAGTACTGTGAGTATTTTGAGAGGACATTTGTCTCAAAATTCAAGTGAAACAATAATAAGACCCTATACATGAAGAACCCTAGTGAATGTTTCAAGTCATGTTCAAAACTCCCTCAAAAAACGCTCTTCACAATTCGTCACCAACAGTCTCAGCCCAGTGAGACAGTCTACTAGTTTAAGGTTGGTATATCATTGGTCTGCAACACTTGTAGACTTTTCAGGGACTAGAGCTGTCATTTCTAATCCGGGCCCGAAGCCCAGCCCAGGCCGACCCGAATTTGGGCCGGGCCATAGTAATGTGCTGGATGGGCGGGACGGGTCAGTGACGGGCTTTTGATTGCATCAGCGGACGGGCGCAGCTGACGATCCAATTATATGGCAACATGGCTTGCCATACAATCCAATTATATGGCAACGTGGCTTGACACACATTCACCAACCGCATGCGGCCATTTGACAGTGAGCTGACCGGCCTTGAAAGAGGTCAAATAAAGGTCAGTTAAGCTTCAGATGGAGCTACCAGTACTGCCAGGAAGTAATCCATCGCACAAACGGACGTTCAGCCGCTGCACTCAGCGGACGCTTGTGCCCAACGACCCAAACAGGTGAGATCTAAAAAGCAGACATGTCAGAGCAGGGTCCGTGTCTGAATAATGCAGAATGCAGGCAGAAGCAGGGATTTAATGCGCTTTGACAGCCACGACAAGACAAACACCACCTCAGCTCCGATCTTCTGCCTCTTTTATTCAGCCGCTCACATCCGCCGACCTTTAATAAGTATATAAGCAGTCAAAGCTTAATTAAAAACATGCTAGTTTTCAACATTTGCAGTCCAGTGAGGTACTACCATCAATGTTGAAGAAGGGTAGCTAAGAATGTTAGCATATACTAAATTCTATGATTCTCTTGTGTTAAAAGTTTTCTTTTGTCTTAAAAACGATGCTGAGTGAAACCTTAATCTTTTTTTTTTTTTCTCACCAATGATACTGAATCCATTCCTGTAGCCAGGCTGTTCCAAAGCAAATGTCCACCCGATAACACTGCTCAGGGCCAACAGAGGCAACATGGAGGGCCCGACAGACTCAGGAATGCCACTGATGGCAACGTACGATCGTCCGTCGTTGACCACGACGTACGAGTGGAGATCATTGCCACTGAACTCCACCGGGAACAGGGAATCGCCTGCATATAGTTTCCCATATAGTTTACCATTCATTCTTTGAGGTTTTCCTGAATAAAAAAAAAGTTAAAAACAAGTTAGTGGCATATGGGGCAGACATGTCTCATCATTCAAACTCTAGAAACATCACATCAATCTTTGAGCATGTTGAAAGCATTTGTGAAAAAAATACAGCGCGCACAAACTGTGCATGTGAGAATCTTTACAGCTGCTAAAAGATTATCCAGTATTTGGACATCTGCCACATGTTCAGGACGAACCAGAGAAGTAGCTTTTTTTTATTCCTCCCAAAAAGGCAGTATAGATGCAGAGTGCTAAATGTCTGCTGAAATTTGTGTAAGAAGCTAAAACTGGGTTGTTAAATCTAAATGAATCAAAACATTAGCAAAATGCTAAAAGTAGCAAAAAGCTTGCTAAAAAATAAAATTAACTAAACTAGCTAAAAGCAGTGCATGCTTAGCTAAGAGATTAAAATAGTGAAAAGGTAGCTAAAAGTATTTAAAAGCTAAAGCAGTAAATAGTTAGTTCAAAGCTAGCTAAAAAGAGCTAAATGCTTGCTCAAAGCCAAAAGTAGTTATAGCTGGAAGTTAAAAGTAGCTATAAGCTAGCTAAAAGCTAAAAAAATCCAAAACGCTTCCTAACAGTAACTAAAGTTAAAAGTTCCAGAATGGTAGCTGAAACAAATAAAGTAGCAGAATGGAAGGTAATAAGTAAAAGTAACACAAGATAAAAAAAAATAGTGTGAGTACCAGCAGATACAATAAAATAAACAATATTTTAAAGGAAATTGAGATATAGCAATACATTCTATATAAAATAAATATTTGTAAATAATGTTAAATATCTTAAAAAGTATAAAAGTAAGACAAAAAAAAGTCATAGGACCCATCTCCTGAAATGAGCTGAATGTTTTCATATATGAACAGCTGAAATAAAGCAAGTCTGCAAAAGTAGGTAGATTGCAAAAATAATTTTTTTAAACAGGACAGCAATAGTGTGGATGCTGAATCAGTATTTACAAAATCATTGCATTTTACAAAACAAAAAACAACAACAACAAAAAAACAATACAACTTGCAAAGCTTTTTAGTAGCTTTAACTGCTTTCAGCAACAGAAGTTAATTGATTTGTTTTGGATCCAGAGATCCAGTATTAAAAAAACAACAACAGCAGAAACAGAACCGTACCTTCCGCTACACACTGTATTCCATTGCCGTAGTAGCCCGGTCTGCAGTGGCAGCAATATCCACTTGAATAGTCTCTGCAGTCTGCAAACTGGGAGCACTTGTTTCTGTTGTTGGTACATGTCCCAAGGTTGTATGAAAACACTGAAAATATGTACATAAAAAACTATAAGAATCCTACATGAACATCTAAATGATAAATAATTAAAATAATCCAACACAGTTATGTCAAAAACCTAAAGTGCTGTGACTGAAGAAAACATTTTTATGGAACAAAACAATAATTATTCAGTCAAGCCATCTTATTTTTAAAACCGGTGTGCCACAAGGATGTTTATTTGGCCCATTGTTGGTTTGGTTTTATATTGGATGTTTCAGTGTGAATTTTTTTGCTAATCACAGTTATAGGTGTCACATGTTCTACCCTGTCTATGGTGCTTACTTATCATTGGTCTTTATTTAAGTATTTGTTATCAAAATCTTTAATAAATCACCCATAAAAGTGCACAGTTAATTTTAGCGATTTGTCCACTTGCACCAATGACTTCCATTAAGTGCCACCAAGAATACTGATAAGTCATAAAAATACAATTGATGACAGCAAGCTTGTATTCAGCATCTATAACTTGCTGCTGAAAGGTACAAGGTGGCTGCCACAGCCGATCAACATTGAAAAACACAAAAACTGCTATTACTAAGTCATTTTTACATGTACTGAACTAAAAATTGGTGGTGTAGTAGCTGAGAGTTATGCTAAACACATAACTTGAGCACTAACTAATCTTGCAAGACTTTTGTTTAAAACGTTGCCATTTGAGTCAACACTGTCTGTTAGCAAAATATCCCATAAATCACAGGACAAAAGTTTGTGAAACTCTTGGAAAGTGCATCTACAACCGATTATCTTTTGGAGCCAACCCAAATTAAGATGGCGTCCACAGTTAATCGACCTCACTGGCTATGTAACAATCAGTTTTTCTTGTATTGAGCTAAAAATTGGTGTGGAGTAGCATTTCACATAGTCTGAGTGCTAACATTATACGCATGACATTATTTTTAAGATTTCACCACAACGGACATATATTTGTCAGCTCTTCACTTAAAAGGTTCTAGTTAAAACCTTGACATAAAACGTGGCAAGTGATGTGCATTTCTTCAAGAAAACTTATCTGGTTAACAAAAAATAAAAAACGAACTCACCATCTACATTAATGTCTGAGTCGTCGATCACTACCACCTCTGGGTTCTCCGGCTGGTATTGAACTGAGTGGACCTGAATCTGTTCTGCATCTGGAGTGACATTAAACTGTTCATCAGTCAGAACAGACTGCTGTGAATCAAAGACCTGCTGCGGGGTCTCGGTAGGCAGGTCTGTGACCTCCCCAGGTTTCACGTTACTAAAGTAGGGGTAGGTGCCAATCTCATACACCCATACACCTCGCAGGCCGGAGTTAGTCTCCCTTTAAAAACAAAAAACGATGTGTTTATTAGTAAAGTTCACCTTATAAAGAAATGGTTATTTGTAGTGGAAGACACTCACACTGCTAAAGCCCTCACGCTTTCTTCCTCATCTTTGGTGGTGCGGTAATATTTTCCCTGACTGTCAAAGAAGTAACCCTTGACCAAACCCTGGCTGAAGCCAGCATGCATGATCGCATGACTGTCTCCTGCAGGTGTGGAGGAAAACTGGATTCCATTTCTTGTGTAGAGGACAATAGCATATGAGGCAGTGTCCAAGGAAGCGATAACCAGCTGGAAGTTGTTCCTCTAATAAAAGACATGACATAAGTGACGAGCTCCAGTTCAGATCATTTAAACAGCTCTTTAATGCTCACCTTCTTGTCGCTGTCTAAAGTTTCAGGTTTGTGGCTGGCGACATTAATCCAGGTGATCACCACAACGTTGGTAGGATTCACCTCATCGTCCCTGGGGAAGGCCCTGTTGATGTGCTCGGCTGCCCGGCGCAAAATATCTGGGCTGGCATCTTGACGAAAGAAAACTTTCCCAACGCCATCGCTTGTGTCCAGGTCTCCCTGCAGAGCCGCAATCATGCCAAACTCTGGGGGCATTTTACCCAAGTACGTGGACTCACTCGTCGGCTCTGCTGTGGCGACAAACCCATTGGTGTTGATCTGAAATTAAAAGCTCAATTTGGTCATTTGGAGATCGAGACATCAGATGATATTAATTAAAGGCCAACCAATAAGGTTGATGCCGACCATTAGAAATCATGGCGCCTGACAGCCAATATATATGACGCCATTTTGTTTTATTTGCAACCTCAAATCCAAAAATCTTGGTACGTTTTGTAAAATGTAATTAAAATCCGAATGCAATGAAATCCAAATGTCACAAACACATCATTCACAATGAAACAGTAAACATAACAATTGTGTAAACTAAATAATTGTACCATTTTTGGTAGGGGGGAATGTAATTTTGAAATTTATAGCAGCAGCATCATCTCAATAAACTTGTTCCAGGTCCATGTTTGCCTGTGTGAAGTATCCATCCAGGACCTGAGGGGACCAGTTGTTGGAGGTTTTGGAGGGAATGTTGTCCCATTCCGATCTAATGGAGGATTGATTCTAGCTGTTCTACAGTCCAGAAACTTCTTTGTTGGATGGGAGGAGATGTTCTAAAACCTGTTTATACATTTTTGCAATGATGGAGCCTGTCCAGATGTTTAAGATGCCCATGCCAGAGGCACTAATGCACCCCCATATCATCAGGGAGGAAGGCTTTATTAAACTGTGCACTGATAACAGGCCTGGTGGGTTCTCTCTTTAATATACTTCCCTTCTACTGCTCTTCTACCTTTGCTGAACGGAGGTGACCCCACCTCACTGAACAACTATCGACCAATCTCTAAACTCTGCATTTTAGCCAAGGTCCTAGAAAAACTGATTAACTCTCAAATCAAAAATTACCTGGACTCATTTAACATCTTATCTCACCATCAATCTGGTTTCAGGAAACAACACAGCACAACCACTGCTTCACCTAACGTTTTTAATGACATTGTTGAAGCACTGGATGCTAAGGAATATTGTGCTGCACTTTTCTTAGACCTGTCTAAAGCTTTTGACACTGTGGATCATAACATCTTGTGTCATACACTCTCAGAAAATGGTTTCTCAGATCACACCATTGGTTGGTTCTCTAACTATCTCTCAGATTGGAAGCAATGTGTTCAACATAATGGTACTTCTTCCAGTTATTTAACAGTCAACATTGGTGTACTACAAGGCTCAGTCTTAGGACCCACCCTCTTTACAATCTATATACATAATGTAGGTAAAAACATCCCTGATGCATCCATATATTTCTATGCTGACGACACAGTTGTTTATTGTCGAGCTAAAACAGTTGCTAAGGCTTTCCAGCTTTTGCAATCTGCTTTTAGCATCATCCAGTCAGATTTGTTCCGTCTCAAACTTGCCCTAAACACCGACAAAACCAAAGGGATGCTGTTTTCAAACAGGAAGTCAGTTCCAGCAGTTCTTTCCTCGATTTTATCGTCGAATGGTGTCCCTATTGAGTTTGTCGATACCTACAAATATTTGGGTATCTTGGTCGACTTGCATCTCTCTTTTAAGCCCCAAGTTGAAAACTTGGTAAGGAAACTGAAAGTTAAACTGAGTTTCTTTTTCAGAAATAGATCCTGTCTAACCCTGAATGCTAGGAAACGCCTTGTAACTGTGACTTTCCTTCCCTCCATTGATTACGGTGACATTATTTACATGAACGCTCATACAAGCACCCTGCAGATGTTGGATGCTGTCTATCACGGTGTGCTAAGATTCATAACTGGCTGTAACTACCGTACCCATCACTGCACCCTGTATTCACTGGTTAACTGGAAATCATTAACTTCATGCAGACTCTCTTACTGGTACATTTTCATCTTTAAATCTCTTCTTGGTCTGCTGCCTTCATACATCTCCTCCTACTTGTCACTGTGTGAGTGCAGCTACAGCGTGCGCTCTCAGGACATTATTACCTGCAGTGTTCCCTCAGTGAGGACTGAACTAGACAAAAGGGCCTTCTCCTACTCCGCTCCTGTTTCTTGGAATATTTTACAAAAAGACCTGAAGCTCTTGACCTTGACCTCTCTAAGTGGCTTCAAACATCTGTTAAGTTCCTGGCAAGAACCAACGCAGACATGTTCCTGTTTTTCGTTTTCTACATCGATTTACAGTCTAGCTGTTTTTTGTTTTGTTTTGTTTTTTAGCTGGTTTTTTTTTTAATGTTTGTTTCATTTCTTAATATAATTTTCCTTCATTTTTTGTTCATTTGTTCTTCTTAATTTATATGGTTTCTCGTGGAAGTGTTCCTGAGTCCAGAACAGAACCAGACCTGGTTTTAATGCAACGGCCCCTGAGGGCCAAAGATCACATCAAATGTTGACTTTCATCCTTTGAGATTTCTACAGAACCTTCAATTGATAGATGATGGGATAGTAAAAGTCCACTGCCCATCTTTACTTCTAAAAGATTCAACCACTCTAGAATGCTCTTTTTCCATCCAGTCCTCTCACTGACCTGTTGAAAATAAACCCAGTTAATTACAAAATGCTCTTCCGGCTGTTTCTTATATCGTGCCACTCACCTTTACATTCTTTTGTTGCCCAGTGATATTTTGTTTTAAATGTGTTGATGCCATCAAAGTCGAAACAACCATTTTTCAAGTGCAAATTCTTTAAACATTCAATACGTCTACTTCCTTTTATTTTTACTTACACAACGTCCCAACTCTTGGAATAGGAGATGCAATGATATAAATCGATAACTGCATAACATAAATGAATGTGTATTTCCAAAACGTGTACGCTTAAAAACAATATACAGAGGAGCATATTATTTAAAAAAAGACAAAATAAACTAAACTGTGGGCTACATAGAGCTGGTTAAGTTAGTTGCAGCATCCTCATTTTTCTAAATACGGACATGACTGAGTGACGATGTGTTCAAAGTGGCGAACCTCGGCTGATTAAGATCGTCCGGCTTTGATCTCTAATCCAAACTCATTAAACTAATGATGTACATCAGCTGGCCCGTCCCTCACAGCACTAATGAACAAACAAGAAGCATTTAACAAACGCATGCAAAGTCCTGACAAACACAGCTTATATCAGAAACATGCTTTTTTTTTTTTTTAAACTTCCTGACCAAAGGGAAATTGGAACCTTGCCCACGACTGCACCACTTCCTGTCCTGCTCCTGATGAAGAAGCCCCGAGAGCCTAAAAATTGCTCGCTAATCTTCATTACCGAACGTTTCAAAGCTGAGGAAACAACCAGCAGCTCTGCTCTCACCGTGCAGGCAGACGTGCTCGACAGAGGTTCATATTTACGCTGAAGCTCGACAAAACCTTGATTCTCCTCTTCCTTTCTTCATGTGTCTGCACTGAAGCCCCCACAGGCCTCAGAGAGATTTTCAGGACTGAATGTCTCACAAATGAAAAACAGAAACGGTCCAGGCTGCAGCTGGGATGGAAGTTTGGAAGTACTGTCTTAACAAGGAGCTCAGGGTTTATTCCCAACCTGCAGGATTATGTGTCAACCACAGATTTTACTTCAAAACATCCGCTTTCCAAACAAGGCCTGGTCCTCGGCTGAGAAGAGTTACCACACAACCTAAAGTTCACCATTCACAAAATATCTCATGGACCTCTGGATGGATTTCAGAAAGTAATTAGCAAATATACATCTAAACTAGACAACCTGATTCATTTTAGCAAACGCAAAAATGGGGTTAAGTCAGTCAATTTTAAACGCATGGAGCTCAAATTCAGTGTGGCAGTAGCTGAGCATCATCCCCAACACATACTTTGAGCACACTGCATTTCACATCTTTGTTGGAAACCTTGATATTAACCTTTGGAATCAACCCTGTTTGTCTGTTAGCATAATATCTCATGGGCAGATTTCAACAAAGCTCTCAGAAAGCGATTATTGGTTGAACATCTCCAACGTCTTGGTGGTGGCTGAGAATCATACCCAGCACGTAATGTGAGCGCTGTGGCGTGAGTTTACGCACAATGTCATTTCAAAGTTGAACCAAAACGGCGGCAGTTCCGTCATTTCTCAACAGGAGACGAAGTTAAATGAACTAAGTTTAAAACTCTGGCATGAAAGACGGCGGGCGACATCCATTCCGTCCATGGGGTTGAGCTGGTTTATGCGTTTTGTTTGTTTTTCACTATGAGGAGCAACATAATCAGCTCCACAAGACTTTATGTTGATTTAATAACTCCTAAAATGCTCACAATCCACAGAGGAACTCCGACACAGTCCGAACTAGATTTGTCAGCTTCCAGGAATCCGTGGTTGTGACTTCGGACCCTGTTCCAGTTTGTTTTCGTGCGCAATTACGCAAAAACAACTAAACAAACGCGGCTCTGGCGTTCATGCGGTGTGCTGTTAGAGTTCTGGTGGACTTACAAAAAGGCTGTTGAACGCCTTGTCGTAGAACAGAACTGGCTTGTTGAGCTGAAGTTCGGACGTCCGGTCGGTCCCGGGCTCCAGGGAATGGTCTCCTGCGCGCACACCGAACGGGAGGAACTCGTCCCGTCCTATGCTCCGCGCCGAGGCCAGAAGTCCGAGGAAAGTCCCCAAGACGAGCCACCCTTGGTTCTTCCGAGACATGGTTCTCACTTTGGAGGCAGCTGGGTTGAGAGTCCTGCGCTAGAGGCGAGAAGTGAGTTTGGGACGGACTCATGAAGTGGGTGGTGGGAAGAGGAGGGGTGCGCGCGCGCACAAACACACACACAAAGGGGGTAGTCCATTCTTCAATCTAAAGTTATGCAAAAACAATTGTTTTTATTGAATTATTAAATTATTATTATTAAAATCTTACTTCTAACATACAAAGCCCTCAACAACCTAGCTCCATCTTATATTACAGAGTATATTATACGATGTATATGCTGTTTTGCACTAGTGACTAGTGTATCTTAGATCTTTTGGGC